TTACTATGCAGCCTGGGCCACATAAGAAAGCTAGCGAAGTGCAAGGCAGAGAGTGAACCAGCAAGCAGTGACCACACACACACATACACACACACACACACACACACACACACACACACACACACACTACATGGTTTATGCTTCATGCCCCTTCCCTGACTTCCCTCAGCGATGGGCTGTAGCTTGTAAGCTGAAAGAAGCCCCTCTTACCTGAGTTGCTTTGGGTCATAATGTTTATCACGGCAACCAGATCAGTCTAGAGCAATCAGGTTCAAACCCCCTGCCCAGTGATTGTGGACTTGGATTCTTGACCCACTTGAGCCTCAGACAGTTTTCTAGAAGAATATTGCCGTCTGGGGATGGGGTGTGTATGTGGCGGCGGAGGTGGGGTGGGGGTGAGGCACCTAGCTGACATTTATTTGCTACTAACAAGCTAGATGATTACATTCAACCTCCAGTCCCTCATCTGTGAGTTCAGGAGACTGTGACTCTGTCATGAAGAAATGCATATGACACTCCCAGCAGCTTCACACAGAACCAAGTGCCCAGCATAAGTCATTTTGCCTCCCTTTGGCGTTGATATTGGGGCTGGACTCCAGGTTCCACCAAATGGCTAAGTGGTAGAATTATGACCACCTACATTCCTTCTGTCCTAAAGCTCTTCCAGCAGGAAGAGAACCATAGAGCATCGCCTTCAAAGGAAGGCCCTGGGCCCTCTGAATCCCTCAGCATTCTCAGGGGTGGGGGTAGGGGGTGGGGGGGGGGCTTGAGAGTCAAGAGCAGTATTAGGGCTTTCAAGAAACTTGAATCCTGGGGCTGGGGAAACAGCTCAGTTGGTAAAGACCCTGCTGCACACGCGTGAGGGTCTGAGTTCAGCTTCCTAGGACCCGTGGTTATAAAGCTGGGTATGGCAGGGTGGTGGTGGTGTGCATGCCTTTAATCCCGGCACTCAGGAGGCAGAAGCAGGCAGAGCTCTGTGAGTCTGAGGCTAGCCTGGTCTACAGAACAGAGAGAGTTCCAGGACAGCCAGGGCTACACAGAGAAACCCTATCTTGAAAACTAAAAAAAAAAAAAAAAAAAAAAAAAAAAAAAAAAAAAAAAAAAAAAAAAAAAAAAAGAAACAAAAAAAAAACAAAGAAAGAAAGCTCGACATGGCAGCATGCACCACACCTACAACCCTAGTGCTGAGGACACAGGAGCAGGAGGATCCCTGGAGCTGGCTGGCCAGTCTAGCCGACCCTGGAGCTGGCTGGCCAGTCTAGCCGAACGGGAGAGGTCCAGATTCAGTGAGAAATCTTGTCTCAAAGAGAAAGGTGAAGAATATGGAAGCCACTCCAGGTCAACCTCTGGCCTCCACATTCCTGCATCCACACCTGGGGAGCCAGCCTCTGAGGCCATTTGTGGCACCCTCGGTCCATATAGACTTCTGTGTTCTATGTTGTTTGGGGGATGATGGCATGAAAAAGTGGGTGTGTGTTCAGTATGCATATAGGTTTTTTTTTAAATCAGTTCTGCATAATTATGGGCTTGCTGTGACGTTTTCAGTCATGTATAGCATGTTGGGTTGTGGTTGTTTGTTCTTTGTTTTATTTTGTTCCTTCCCTAGTTACTTTCTCTTTTACCCAGTGTTTCCCGATCAGGGATGATTGAGTCTGTGGATACAAAACCCAAGGGTCCAGGGCTAAGGGTTACCCCTGCAGAGGTTCCCAGCACCCACATCTGGTTGCTCACAACCTCCTGTACATCCAGTTCCATAGAATCCAATGTCCCTTTCCAAGATCCAAGCGTACTGAATTAGAGGTGGCATGCATTTACACAGATATAACCATGTAAATAAAAATAACAAAAATAAATATTAAAAAAGAATCCCCCAGAAAATAGGTGAAAGTTAATGAGCACTAATTTTTCCTGTGCTCACTCTGGAAATCTGATTAAATATCAGACTGAAGAAACAAACGAAAACTCACAGACACAGAAGGTCAACTCTATTTCAAACATGTTTTCCTTGGAGGCCTCTGGTGGTTTGCTACCACCTTTTGCATTATAGTTTGCAGAGATCAAATAGTGGACTATATATAAAGGGGAAACCATGAGAAAGAGGGAGAATAATGAATCAGGTCTCCCAGGAACACAGGGTAGGGGCCAAGGCCATTGTGGGAGGTAAGGGTCAGGCAAAGAGGCAATGGGAAAAGCAGGGCCTGGGGAAGCAGGAGCCAAAAGCGTAATCCCGCGTCACATAAATGAGTTCCGGAGAGAAGCTGAGCGGCAGGAATAAAAATATTTCCAAAGCCCACATCAGAACTCTCTTAAGGCTCGTGTTTCCAGGATGCCTGGTCTACAGGCTTAAGACAAAGGAACAAACAGACAGACAAACAGAAACCATGGTGACCAAACAACTAACCACCTGTGGAGGAACTTCCTGTCCAGCTGGCTCACCCAGCTATGCCTGGCCTTCTCAGAAGCTCCGGGGCAGGTCAGTGGCTTGCCATCATCGCTGCTGAGGAACAACTGTCGCCAACAGCCCTACTAAATAGGATAATGCAGCCCAGGTCGGATCCTGGTCTAACGCAAGCAGTTCAGAATGCAGCCAGGAAAATCAATAGTCTTTGGCCTCTGAAGGCTTCAAAGAGCCCTGGTAGCACTGCCAACCGAGTGGCTGGTTGTTCCCCAGCCTTTGATAGCTGCTTGGCCACCACCCCAAAAACTGTCTGCTTGAATGTCCAGATGGGGACAGACATGCTCTTTGGGTCAGGCTAATTAGATGATTTTCATAACCTAAATGCATAACCCAAAAGGCTGCCCCAGCTCAGAAGCCATAAGCAATGAAGTGCTTACGCCAAGAACTAGATCGCTCACCTCCCATAGGCTCTAGCATTTTCTTTTTAAATTGGGAGGGGCGGCACGTGCAGTTTGCTCCTAGGGGAGAGTGGGGTGAGAGGGTGCAGTAGAAGAACCCAGAGCTACTAGCAGCTCCAGGGGTCACACTCCTACCTGCCACCTACAGACCACCTGTCCCTTCAGTGCATTTGTAACTACTGAGGAAGGACTCAGGAGCCGAGGAAAGGAACGGGACACAGAGATGATTGTCTTTGTCTCCTCTGGCCCTGGTGACTGCCGCTGGATAACTGTAGAATAAAACGAAAGCAAACGTGATACTACTTAACACCCAAATTATCTCTCAGCAGTTTCTTCTAAACATAACAGCTCAGCTCTATTTTGCACAACACTGGGAATTCTGAATCTAGCTTTCTATTTCTTTTGAATTTTATGCCATTAAATTAGAAACTCGAAAGTGGACAAAGTCTGAGCAGGTCTCTGCTTTGTGAGCAAGTGACACACCGCCCCGGCTGAGGAAGTCTATTGTGTGTCTCTATAGGTGGCAGAGAATGCAAGGGGGAGGTGAGCAGAGGCCAGAAGCCTCATGGACTTGAAGGGAAATGGGTAGAGAGAGAGGGAGGGAAGGAGTAAGTAGAGGAAGGGAAGAAGAGAGAAGAGGGGAGGGGAGGGGAGGGGAGGAGAGGAGAGGAGAGGAGAGGAGAGGAGAGGAGAGGAGAGGAGAGGAGAGGAGAGGAGAGGAGAGGAGAGGAGAGATCCTTTGTAGGTATCGTTAAACCCACTTCTTGTTAAAGGCCAGCTGAGGGTTACATCTACCTCTAGGAGGAGCAAGATGAAGGCTACCTCTCTCCATGAGGGGATTGCCATGATTTAAAGAGCAGCCTTCCAGCTTGTTCTAGCACTCAGCTGTCTCATCAGGGAGTCCTTTAGATTAACAAATGAGATCATTCTAGCATCACCGGAGGGGTTATTACATGGCGTTAAATATTTCATTTATCTGACATCACTCCCCCTGACTCACGGCTATAATTTATTAAACTGGCTTCCCATAGAAACGGCTCTGTAGTTTCTCAGGGTGGGGCTCGCCTCTCAAGGTCCTTCCCTGCCATCTCTGAAAATGAGCTTTTTTTTTTTTTTTTTTTTTTTTTGCAGCTCCTCTCCCACATCTGACATGTGGGAGGTGATGTCTTATAGTAAGGAGGCTGCTAGTTAGTTCCTGGCCACCTAGCCCCGAAATAATCACACAGAAACTGTATTATTTAAATCACGGCTTGGCCCATTAGCTCTAGCTTCTTATTGGCTAACCCTTACATTTTATTTTAACCCTATGTGCATCACCACAAGGTCGTGGCTTACCAGGAAAGTGTCAGCACATCTGTCTCTGGTGGCTCCATGGGCTTCTCTCTGACTCTGTCTCCTTTCTTTCAGCATTCAGTTTAGTCCCCCCCCCCGTCTAGTTCTGTACCCCAATAGCTTTCTATAGGCCCATTTATTAACCAATGATATTCACAACATACAGAGGGAAATCCCACATCAGTGCCCTGTTAGCGGGCAGACTGAGCTGTAGGGTGGCTTGTGTGAATGGCCCCTGCCCCCAAGGGTAGACAATGTCAAAGTCATGGTCACAGCATGGTGCTAGTAGGCCGTGGTTATGTTTTTAGGAGGCAGCATCTCGTGGGATGATTTAGATTGCTGAAGGCATGCACTGCAGGGAACTGACTCTCCATCCCTTCCCTTCTTGTCCTGATCCTTGGCTAATGAGGTCAGGTATATGCTCCACTATACAGACCAGCCATGGTGCAAATTTCCTGCTAAAGCCCCAAAGAATAGGACTGCTTGGTGACAAACTAGAACTTTCAGAAATGTGAGCCAATTTAACACCTTTCTCTCCTTGTAAGTTGATTAGTTGGTATATTTTGTGATAACAACACAAAGCTAATGCGAGAGGTGAACGGGGAGAAAAGCACGTGGGCTGCAGGGATTCAATCAAGCCAGTAACCACAGGCAGAGTCAGAGGTCAGTCTGGTGGTGCGAATGTGGGCAAGGATCCCGGGGATCAGAAAAAGATTTGGTGAATTAGTGGTGTCTTTTTGAGTTAAAAAAAAGATACCGGGGAAGCCTCCAAACCAAGAACCTTCTCAACTTCTCATTTCTCTTCCTCACAGGTGGAGATGAGCTTACTTTGGGATCGTTTTTTTGTTTTCTGCTGGATGAAATAGTTCCCATAAGAAATGCAATTCCCCTCAGCTCTCTCCCAGTGGTTCTCATCAAACAACCAGGAAGACAGCCACTGAAGAGAAGACTGGAGGCTGAGGGTCCTCGCCACACCCAGACAGTCCTTTTCTCTATTCTTCTGAAGGCAACTCTTGGAGGCAGACTTACTATCCTTAATAAAGTTCTCTTTGATCTGGGTGAATTTCCACATCCACCGTCCCTTAATTCCTCAGCACACCATAGGAACTTTGACCCAATCTGTTGCCTGTTCTCTGGGTTCATTCATAATCTTCTAAAAATCCTTTACTTCTCAAAATGGGCTATACTGCCCAATTTCCCCCATGTCTATGAAGAAGAGTGTATATGTTACCAGGCCTTGGGTTCCTGGGCAATTGCTGTCCTACAATGGCCTTTTCACTCACTGATCTCTCTGTTGCCAGTCCATTTCAGCAAGCCTCCGAGGGACGGAGGACAAATGTCATTGTCTCTACACTGGCAATAGGCCCGGCAAGAAACATCTCTTCAGACCTCCATGGCTGAGGCTGGAACAGGTTAAGAATGAACTACGTTCATCCTTGGGTAGTTGGAATGTTATCCTTAGTGGCCATCAACAAGAAAGTCTCATAGAAGGTGCCTGGTTGATGGAGGTGGGTCTTGCATCTCTATCTGTTGCTTTCATTGGTTAATTAAAAAAGAAACTGCTTGGCCTTGGATAGGACAGAAAATTAGGTAGGCAGAGTAGACGGAACAGACTTCTAGGAGAAAAAAAAGCCGAGTCAGGCAGTCGCCATCATTCTCCCACTCCAGACAGACACAGGTTAAGATCTTTCCTGGTAAGCCAGCTCGTGGTGCTACACAGAATATTAGAAATGGGTTAGATCAATATGTAAGAGCTAGCCAATAAGAGGCTAAAACTAATGGGCCAGGCAGTGTTTAAAAGAATACAGTTTCCATGTAATTATTTCGGGGCATAAGCAAGCCAGGCGGCTGGGAACTGGGGCGGCAGGAAAGTGGCCCGCAGCTCCTTACAACACCTGGTATAAGAGTGGTCCTCGGGGAAGTGTCTAGATGCAAGGATGGCCACATGGAAGCCTGGATTCATTCAATCCCTAAGTACCTTACCCTCATATTGAATGCTGTATTAATTATTTTCCCCTCACTGCCGTGAGGAAACAGAAATGGACACAGGTTCCCAGCTGGCTTTTCCCACGTTCCATTCAGTCTGGGACCCCAGCCCCTGGAATGCCCCCACCCACATTCAGGTGGGTCCTCTCTTCTCATCAAACATCTCTGGAAACACCCTTATATGTACAACATAGGCACCAAGGCTGTGTCTCCTCATTGATTACAAACGTAGCGAGATTTACATTGATTAAAGATTAGCCATCACGGGTGATCCGGGTCTCAGAAATCACAGATGGACACGTGGGATGATCTCCATTTCTCCCTGACTATAACAGTGATTTCATTTTAATGTTCCCTGTAGCCTATAGTGGGAGTCTCTTCCCACATTTCCCAACACCCTTCCCCTTCCACACTTGACACTTGCATTCAATCCCCCCACCCCCGTCCCCCGGAGTCTTTCTTCCAGGCTCTCAAGGAAAGGGCAGCATGGCTGTGGACTACTTCAGATTGACAGGCGATTTTCATTATTTCTCAGAGATTTTAGTTATCTAGTTGAAAAGCTCACACACACTGCAGTCCATCTGTGTGGGTCAAGAAGGCCAGGCAAAGAAAGGCCTTTGCAAAGGACCCGAGGTGTGTGTGGTTTCCACACTGTCTCCGTGATAGCTCCCTCACCCGATGATCTGAAGCAGCGTGAAGCTTACTGAAGCCTGTTATTTGTAAAATACAAATGGCCCTTTCACTCCTCGTCCTACCCTTATCATTCTGTTAGATGAAGGTCCGACGCAGCCCGCAGTGCCATTTAAATGATGGCACTGCCGTTTCTGCGCGGCCTTCATCCTTTACAGCTGGAAGCGCAAGCGGCTCGTGGCCTGCTCCTGCTCCTTTGATTACGACTCCCTTGTGGTTTCCCGAGTGGATTCTTCTGATTAGATCCACCAGGATAGATTACATGGAGGAGCATAGCCTATCTTACAAGTAGTTAACTGATCTGTAACGACCTCAGAATAGAAAAGGAGAGAGCTTATGCTCACCTATGACTCACTTCAGAAGAGGAATTCTCGTCTTCCAGTTAAATGAGCGTCAGCTGGAACAATGCTTTCTAAAGTACTTAGTAACAAGGGCACCAAAAGCGGTGGATCTGATTCGCTGAGATGCGTCAGCTACTCGGGCATGGTGGGATGGGGACGCTATCTATCCGTTCTGCTTTTCATTAAAGCCCATACTGAGCCGGCATCTTACTATGCTCCAAGCACACACTGTAGACATTTTGTTAAATCTTAATTTATAAAATGTTGCCAGAAACATCCATGTTTAGACTGTTTTTGTGTGGTTCACACTTGAAATACCTTAAAAGCCAGACGACGCGTTAACTGACGTCTCCTGAAAGTGTCAGGCCTTTTGTCTCTAGGGCCATGACAACAACCTGAGCGGAGGTCCCTTCAGTTGTGTTAACAACCAAAAGTCCTGGGTATCATATTGGAAGAAAAAGCTTAGACCAAGCAGCATTCTTACATGGGAATGCAGAGAGAGGATGGTCTCTGAAGCAGTCGTCATCCAAACAAAGACATTTACCGGATTGGGATGCGCAGGAGAGCCATGTTTTCATAGCATCTGCGATCATGGAGAAAGGAGGGCTGAACCTGAGATGTGCCCCCAAACCAGACCTCTTCCCCGACCCAAAGTGAAAACTCGTCCCCAGGTCAGAATCCATGCCTGGTCCCCAGGCTGAATGTATAAAATCAGTAGACTGGGAAGGAGATGAAAAAAAACCCAACACACTGGGTCTCAGGCAAGTGTGCAGTGCACATCCACACCAGAAGGGGGTGTTCGATGCTTGACTCCTGAGTTAGCTTGAAGTAGTCTCACATGGGTGAGGCACCCACAGACTAGAAGAAGCAAGGTCAGCCCCTCCCTGGGCCTACCTACTTTCTGTATCCTAAAACCTAGGCTCGGAAGAATTTTTCACCCGTGTTTAGCAACCAAACAAGACTGTGAAACACATTTACAAAGAAACAAGGCTTTGGCATGAAGCCACAGGCTCAAAATCATAACTGAAATAAGATTGGCGGGCAATGACAGAAACAGTAAGCAATGGGTATTGGGCTGCATTGGGCTGTTGTCCATTACTATAACACAGCACCTGCAGCTGAACCATGTGTAAAGAAAGGAGGTCTGTTTCTAGTTCTGTGTGTCTAAGGTATTGCATTAACATCTGTTGGCTTTGGTAATAACCCGTGGCAGAAGGTGTCCCAATGGTGGCGTGAACAGAAGAGTAGGCAAGACAGGAGGGTCCTATGTTAACTCTTTTTGTAATATCCCATTTCCACAGGAACTGAGTCCCTACAGCCAGCAGCAATTCCTTCCAGGGGAAGTTCTGCCTCCCCCTGCTAGGTCACACACTGTGAAGTCCCAGCATGTCTCTAACGCACCACACTGGGGACCAGGATCCAGTGCACAGACCTTTAGGGAACAAACCACATCAAAACCATAGCAGGTATAGAATGAGTGTTATTAATATATCAAATAAAATTGAAAGGGCTTGGAAATAGCAAGTGTTGAGTTTTCAAGATAACTCCGTGATGACCTGAGTTTGACCCCCCCAGAACACACAAGGTGGAAGGAGAGAACTGACTCCCACAAGCTGTTCTCAGATCTCCATGCATGTATGTACATACACACATGTATGTACAGATCACATGGATATACATACACACATGCATGCCCAGGCATACACTCATTTAAGGAAATAACATCGATCCTTTTAAGTAAATAAAAACCAAGAGTATTCTTCAGTCATCACTAACATGCTTTTCAAATCAAAGAAATTTCAAATGTGCACACAATGTGTAATTGCGTAATTAATTGTGTAAGAATTGTGTAATTGCGTGCTTAAGCTAGAAGTCAGAGCAAGGGACACGATCTGAACTAAATACGAGAGTAAACTAAAAGAGCAGACTTCATAGAAATTATTGAGGGGTTTTGTCCACGTTTTGTAAAAGAGAAAGTGGAGAAATTGAAACAGGACCTGGGACCCAGGCGTCCAGTGTGTTTGAGAACTCCTGGGAGGAACATGTACCTGCAGAGACTGAGGGATTAGACTCCAGGACGGTGGGGAGGTTGGAATGTTGCAGATCCACAGGCTAGTCGCCTTACCTGGGGCTAGTTCTAGATGGGTCATTCCTTGCCCATCTCTGTGTCTGAACTAACACCCTGTGGCTAACAGATAAAACCTTCTGGATCTGTTCACTTAGCAAACCTCTAGCTTCCACCAACCCCAAAACTCAGACAACACTTAAGGTCTCTAGACTGCTGTGACTTCTCGGGTATACCCATCAAAGCAGAGTAAACTTGCCTTGATTTAATGACTTCCTTCGTTCTGTAAAGCTATCAAAGCTTGATGAAGCTACTCCCACAATAGAACACGCAATTTAGGGCAATGCAAATGGTCACTGAGGATGGTTCCAGAATAAACCATGTCTCATTTCCTTGAAGGTGAGAGCTGTGTTTTTTTGCATTGACATCAGTAAGTAAAGAAATAGGTACCATGGTCTCACGTGGTGTGTGATTTTGTTCTCTATGTGTTACCTGGGACTCGATACAGTCCAAAAAGACTAATGAAAAAATATAGAATTAAACAAATGCCTTTAACTTTCTGTTCTGAATGGAGAGGTCTCATGCACCCGACTCTATGGCACCTAGAACAGGAAGTGTCCCTCTGCACAGCACAGCCCGACTGTGGATGCCCCTGTACTGTCTACATAGCACAAAGGTAGGGAGGAAGAGATGGCTGGGGGAGGGAAGAGCCCATATTCACATAAACCAGGTTATAATTGTTATGGTTTATTAGTAGTTATTGTTCTTCTGCTTAGTGTAATTTATACAATAAACTCTATCATAATTTTATATAGGGTTTGGTTGTATATGGGGTTCAGGCATCCACTGTGGGTCTCGAAAGGTGTCCATGGGGTTAACAGGGAACCACCCTCATCAGACTCAAAGCATTTGAAAGGTCTGGAAGAGGAGAACTCTAGAGACAGGGATCGATGTTAGACTAACA